CGGTGTGAGCGAGATAGTCAAGAAACCCGGCCCTCAGCTGGGTGCCTGAAAACACCGGATCCCATACCGAACTCCGAAGTTAAACAGGCGGGTCCTCGTGTCAAAGCGGGGTGGGTAGGGCCCACATTTTTTTTCAGTTTTGATAAATTATCAGGTAAAATGAATCCGGCTCTAAGAGGTATTTTAACTGTCGGTTGCACGGGGGTGATAGACGTCAAAAGCTTTGTGCCACACTGCCGCACTGCCCGTAAGGCGCTCCGGCCACCCCTGGGGTAGGTGAACCCGCCAGTCGTCGTGGGTATGCTGCTGTCCCGCATGCAGGCGTGCGTGTTGCCTACCTACAATGCCCGTTAGGCGAGGCGCTACGGCCGCCTGGGGTAGGAAAACCAAACGTGCGGTAAAGTATAACTGCAGGAGCCACGTTTTCCCAAATCCGATTTTCTGATTTTGTTTCTGTGGTACTTATTTCATGACGCGTAACACCGTTTTTCCTTAGGATGAGGTGTACATGACTATTGTACGCGACTGTTGCAACACCCTCCGACTTGAGTCTCGTTTGCTTCCCATTTCTGAGAGATTCGCGCGTGCCGTTGTCAACAGTAAGTGCTCCGACGGAAGATTCCGAGTTTTCACCGGGCCGCTTTTCTTTTCCCCTCCGTTTCTGTCCATTCTGCGGTATTTGTTGGCAATGTGGATAGCGGCATCATGACGGCCCGGGCCCCAGCCCGGCCTTCACGAAGGGTGGACAGAGGGAGGGGCGCAGGCTGCAACATTTCATCATTTGCTGGCCGGTTGTAGTCCATCCCCAGCGTGTGTGACCTGGGTGCGACGAGGAGGAGGGCGTGGCGGGGAGATGGGGGAGCCCCCCCCAACACACTCAGCATCCGGCGCGAGTACTGTGGTAGTCAATACGTACAGGCAGCGCCGATCCGACTATGCTAGAGGGACCAAGGCCCCATGCAAGCCGTGTTGAATTGTAGGAAGTTTACACAGCTCCGCCGGGGGGTGGGGCGGGGCGGGGCGGCAGGACAAAGTAGACTTGGGAGGGGGGAATAAGGAGGATCAACGCAGATGGAGATATATATCTGCGCGACTCCCGCCTACCCCATCCCGCGCCACGCCCTGCCCTTTAGGAATGTCCCTGTCCGTGCCAGGCGGGCTCAGGCCGCGCAGAAACGCAGCGCCACAAAGCAAAACCACGACCATACCGTGCGCCGCAGCCCCGCGCGCCCCCGCGGAGCGCCGCGCTGCCGTGGCGAACGCTGTTGTGCGAAAACCAACTCTGGCCCGGGATAAAGACAGCATTACCGAGAAGAGACGAGAAGTGAGCAGCTTATTCATTTCTTTTCGAGTTCCATTTTCGTTTTTTCCTAGAATATGTATCTTTTCCCTCTCCTGAACGGAGCAGCACTTCTTACACGGGGCACCAAACAGCACCGCTATACGCGAGCCCGGTCGGGATCACGATCGCTGATCGCTGTCCCATGGGCGCTGAACGACATGCCCCCCACCGCTCTACAGGACTGCACTGCACGGCATGCTCATGGCAGCAACGGGGCAACGGAGCGCCTGCTGGGTATGCAGTCCCGCCACTCACCCGTGCGCCCACGCTGCCTAACCTCGCGGCGTCTGAGCGTGTTCTCCTCATCCTAAGAGGGAGTGCTCCTACCTCTTGCTCTGGCCCGTGCCCCATCACCTCGCTCTTAACCCATCTCCCCTTCTCTCTCTCTCTCTCTCTCTCCCTCTCTCTCTCTCTCTCCCCCCCTCTCTCTCCCTCCCTCTCGCTCTGTTTCACACACCGACTCCATATCCAGTCGACCTCAGCAGAACGGTCCGTATTTGCCGTACGGATGACTGACGTCTTGCGCTGCTTCGCTCCGCGTCTGCGTCTGCCCTCCTCGTGGGGCGGGGTGTAGGCCATTGTGCAGCCCCGTGCCACACCACGCGCCGAGCAGCGCAAGGCGTCGAGTGAAGGACTGCAAACGCGCCCCGCCGCGCCGGGTACGTACGTGTGGCGGCGGGGCGCCCAGTGGAGGAAAGGCGCGCTATGAACGACGTCTTGGTGCAGTGAACTGAACGGCGAGCCTCCGTCTCAAAGAAGAGAGAGAGCCCCGATTTCCAAGCAGAGCACCCTGGTGTGCAGTGCTCTCCCAGCTGTAAGCAGGAGAGCGTGAGGGCTTCAAGCAGATTGACCGCGGTTTTCACGCAAATCCCCCCCCCCCCATACTGCTTGGGGTGCGAAATGTTTCCTTGGAAATCAAAGACGTCGCTTTCACCGTGAGCGCGCCTAGACCAAGGCCTAGCCCAAGGCCTATACCCGTTTCTGGACAGTATAAACCGTTTAGCGTGGCCGGTTCCGGTTGTACACTAGGCGCGCTCTAAAGCTTCTTCTCCAACGGCGCCATTCAGCGTGCTCCTTTGGGGGCTCGTGTGTGTGTGTGTGTGTGTGTGTGTGTGTCTGTGTGTGTGTGTGTGTTGGGGTGGCGGGGTCGCTCGCGCGTGATTGGGGTGTGTGCCCCATTAACATATTTCAATTGAGTCCGTTTTGCGCGGAACACCCTATTCCCCGACTCGCCCCGCCCTGCCCGGTTAGGTCGCCTGCTGAAGCCTCGCCGGTCTCCGGGTTTGAATTTCCCCCCCCCCCTTTCTCCTTGCCCCTTGGGCCATTGCCCCTCCTTGTCCCGCCCCTTCTCATTCGGAGCCGGCCCGCAGCAGCAGCCAGCAGGCCCAGCAGGGAGCAACACACGCGACGTAAAGGTGCAACCGCTGCTGCTGTGGCTGATCTCGACCACATTGCGATGGCCTGGCCGCCGTGTGTGCGGGAGAGTGAGTGAGAGAGGCGGAGGGAAAACAAGTGAGGGAGCGAGAGAGGGAGGAGAGAGCGAGCGCGCGGCGTGGTTGTGGCCGAAAAGGCTGGCGGCCTGGCTTGGCACGGTTCAGCCAGGCAGTCTACGGGGGAGACAATGGCTGCAATTCTCGGAGCACAGAGAGCGAGGCGAGGCGAGGCGAGTGGGATAGGAGGCGCCAAGCGTGAAGTGAGTTGGGCCGACGTGACAAGGGGAGGGCCTGCAGGTGGCAGCTCGGGGGCGCGGCGGGGCGCGGCGGGGCGCGGCGCGTGGGGCTCTTGTATGAAAAGGAGGAGGGAAGAGGGCGCGCGTCAGGCGGGGCGGGGCGGGGCGCGGCGCTCCCATGGCGCGGGTACCTACTACCCGCGGCCGCCGCAGGTCGCGGCTGTTGTTGATGTTGGGACGCCAAACCTCCTCTTGACTCTACACACAAGACCTGGCGTGTACGACCGTGCAGCGTCTGGCCGGCGCCAGCGAGGTGAACACACAGCAACGTTTCAACTCCGATCCATCAAATAGGCAAAAAGCAGGACGTTCTGCTGTTTCCGTTTTCCTGTTTTGCTTCCCGCTGATTTTCTTTCCTCCAGCCCGGGCGCTAACAAAGTGTCCAGCGTGTCGTTGGCTCACGGCGGCCCGGCCGCGGGCCCGCCGGCGGCCCCACTGTGATTGTGGCACTACCTGCCCGGCCTTCCCCCTTCCCGCCCCCGCCAGCGCGCCAGGCTCTCAGAGAGATTGGCCGCCCACGCCTTTTAGATGCGGCGCTTAAGTTGAACGACTTTCTCGCACTTTGCTTCTGGGTTTCCTTGCCGCTGAACCGGTTCGTTCCCGAGCCATTGTTGTAGTACAATCCCGTCCCAGGCAACAACTGTGCCGTCTGGGAACCCTCTCTCCCCTCCATTGCTTGAAGGTAGATAAATGCTCGTCAGCAGGTTGTCAGCATTTGGATTTCTTTCAAGGATGTTTAAGCTCTGAAGCAGCAAGTAGCTTGCCCTGCATGTACGATTACGACCGGGAGTCACAAGTCTTAAGTACTCTGTACACACTGTTCAGCGGGGTGGTCGGTAAAAGCATCGCTCAGCGCGGGTTCAGTATCGAAAGGATTTTGTTTTGTCTCCAAATAGCTCGTTCGGGTTCCAAGGATTTTGTTTACAGTCGGGACTTCAGGGCCGGGATGCTCTGAGGCAGAGGCTCGGAAGGCTACCGCAGGCCACCGCTGCAGCCAGCTCCGCTTTGCCGTTTGATTCGCTCAGACGGAATTGTCAATTAGGCCGAAGTGGTGTTGCTCAACCCGTTCCCGTGTGGTCGTGAGAGCCCCCGTCCCCGCTCCTCGTCGCCGGCGAAAGCTTGGGCAGGCGGGTCCACGGCCCCCTCGATGGTGCCCGACGGCGACGTGATGGTTGTACCTCACCCCGGCCCTGGTGCTCAACTCCATTCAGAACTCCACCGTTTATTCAGTATGACTAAATGTCTGTCGTAGTAAACAAAACAGTCCAAAAACAATGTTAACTAAATGATGGACAAACAAATAAAAACTAAATTACCAACACGAGCAAAATTTTGCCAATTCAAAACTAGTTTCTGAAAATGTTGGTCCCTACCTTGCAAATATAGGAAAACAAAGGCTGACTTTGCTATGCACTTACATTGCAGAGAAAGAGAGAGAAGGGGGCTCCATTCGGTCGGAAAACCTGGAGCAAAACACACATCTCATTGACACAAAACAAAATCAAAGCGACGCAAGAGTCTCCGAGAGTGGCATTTGTTCGCATCTTCTCAAATACTTTGAAATTCCATCACAGGCCAGATAAGGAAAGTGGCACCCATTGACCCATTGACGAGGCAAAACCTGCGAAATTTGAAAAACGCATATGAGTCGTATAGGGCATGCAGTCTTCTCACATGACCGTCATTTCCAATCTCACCATTCGAATAAGGTAACGTTCAGTATTGAGCAGGCGCGTGGGAGACGTGTCTCGCGGACACCTGAGGGACACCGCCTTCCCCGCTAGTTATATTGAGCTCAATGGTGTGGACTCCGAGCTGCAAGCTCCTCGGCTGACTGGGCTGACTGGGCTGACTGAACGCGGGCTGCGATGCTGACATGAAGGGGCTCTGCGGCCCTGGCTGCGGCACTTGCATCTGCGGCGCCGGCGGCGCGGGCGGCCCCGGCTGAAACATGCTCTGCAGTGCCGCCTGCTGCCCGCCTTGGTAGCTGCCCCCCAAGTGCACGACTTCCTTCTGAAAAGTGCGCATGCTTTCCTTGTGAAACGGCCCCGCTGCCGCCTGCCCGGTCGCCGTGTACGTCAGCCCGCGCTTCAGCACGCCGCCGGCGCCACCGGCGGGCGGGGTCTCCTGGGGCGCGAGGGCGGCCGCCGGCCCGGCCCCCGTGTGCTCGACCGTCGACTGGTCCATCTTCAGCACGCTCGACGACGACTGAAAGGAGCTGGCCGGCCTGTCCCTGGCTGCGTCCGGCACGCCCCTGCCCGTGTCCGGCACGCCCGTCCACACTCCGAATGCTATCCCGCTGGACGTCGTCATCTTCGCCGCCCTCTCCTCGGTCAACACCGTGGAGGGTTTGGCGTCCAGGAGGTACGGGCCCTGCGGCGGCGGCGCGGTGCCGCTGAGGATCAGGTGGATGGAGCCGATGCGCGGCGCCTCCGTCGTGGTCGACAGCACGCCGCGCTTCGAGATCTGTAAACACAGAACCGCTGGACTCGCATTGTGTGTGGTTTTGAGGCGGGAGCTCCTCCCCTTCCGTTAGTTTACAAAGACTTTGCGTACGAAGGTAAAGAGAAACTTTTTATTTCTAAAATTATGTTCTGGTTATATAATAATAATAATGCGACGGACGCCCCTAACCTAACCCCAACCCGTCGAACTTACCCAGTCCAAAATTCAGATTGACTCTATGGGCGACGAACACGAGGAGAACGTCCAAAAGCCTCGTGGAACACCACTTATGAAATTCCCAATTCTCTCGAGTTTCCTCCATGGTATAGGGTGCCCATCTGTGTTTTGGACGGGGCCGCACACCTTGCTCGCAGGCTTACCGAGACTCTCTTGCTTGCCTTTGCGGACTTCTTGGTGGTGGCCGCGGGCGCCGCCGTCGAGCTGGTGGCCTGCTTGCCCGGGGCGATCTGGTTGAGCAGCACGACCACGTGCTGGTCGGCGAGCGCCGAGGCGGCGGCGGCGAGCGCCACCAGGGCCAGGACCACCCTCATGGTCGCCGTGCTCGCGGCGGCGGCCCTGCTCGCATCGCGCTGCGGCACTGGGGCCGGACCCCCTCCACCGCGGCCTTTACGGCACCGATAGGCGGGACACTGCAAACCGCTCGCAAAGGAAATAGGACGGGCTTGGCGTAAATTTAACGCAGCCGCACAGAGAAGCTTAGTTTGCCACAAACTGAGTGAGACCGTAAAATCCATTTGTGTATCTCCTCTGGGAGAGCTTCTCGTTCTCACAGAGTGGCTCACCTGCGGGGAGTGCGGCTAAGTTTAGCCACCTTTTCGCGGCCCGCTAACCTGGTGGCATTTACATCTCCAAATAGACAAAAGAGGCGATGCGTGAAGCGTAAGGGATTGCGGAAATGGAAGGGGCCGACGCGGCGTGACGAGCGAGGGTTTGGTGATGGAGGGGGTGGGGGTCGGTCCAGGACCCGGAGGCTGCAGGCTAGCCAGAGGCAGAGGGCCCAGAGGGATAGGGAGGGGGGTGACCTGGGGCTGGGGGATGGAATTCGTGCCCGCGGCTGGTCCCAGTGAATTATCACGGCAAGGGGGGACCGTCAATGGGGTCTCCCCGGCGCTACTCACGCCCCGCCCCGCCTTGAGCCTCTCACTCCCCCCGCTCCATTTCACCCGACTGGCAAACACTTTCAGCGGCAGCTACAGCAGCTGCTCGCGGCCCCGGGCCTGAGGGGACATGCCGCCGGCAGAGGGACGGCCCGCACGCCGTCACACCGCCCGAGGAACCCTCCGCACCGCATACACACCCAGACGCCCCGCCCCGCACTCAGAGAAATGTTTCGTTGCAGCCATAAAAAGTCGTGCGACTCGTCGGGTCAGTCATGAGGATCATAATTTTAGTTACAGAAACTACACTTTTTAAGCAACTAAAATTTTGATGCCTATTACTAGCCCAGACAGATCGAACAACAGTTGATGGTGGTTATCAAAAATCTGATGACTGCAATCGAAAATTTCTCTGAGTGCGGCCGACACTTCCGGCACGCGCTTTCTCGTCGCCGACACTACGCCGACATCCACCGACCAGGGGCGCGGCGCGACGGTGGTGGCGCCCCGTTACAACTGCTCGGCGCGGTTCCCCGGAGGCCGGTGCCCCGGCGGCGCCGCAGGGCTGGGACAACACCAATATCAAGGAATTGCTCCCCGGGTAAGCAGCAGCGCGCCCCTTTGCGGCCGTACAAACGAGAAAAAGCCGGATGGCGGTCTCTCCTGGGCACAGAGAGGGCGGGAGAGGGGGTAAGGGGGGTGGGCAAGAAAGAAAGAGACTTGCACCTGCACTCGCGACAATATTTGCCTTCTGCGAACAAAAAGAAGGAAATGGGTGTCTTTTTTGCGGGTGGCCACTAAAGGGCTTGCCACGCCCACCCCTTTACCTCTCCTCTCTTCTTCGCCGCGCACGCGCATCGCTCACGGATTTCGCTCCCCGGTGAGGGGATTGGGGGGAGGCGGCAGGGTGAAATAAAATAAAAATCAGGTGTGCTCACCGGAGCGGAGTGATCGCGTGTTGGCAGCCGCCTCGGCAGCCGCTCAGCCCGGCCCAGGCCCGGCCCCAGCCTTTGAGCCGGCCGCATGATCAGTCCAAGATAAGTTTCCGACTCGGTAGGCTGATCCCATCCCCATGCATTGAGCCGACCCCTCTACCCCTTCCGCTACCACCCCCGCTCCGCGAGGACCCCTTCCGCCCTCTCCTGCCAGGTAATTTTTCCATGATTTTTTTTCTTTCATTCTTCGCAGACGAACTACATCTTTCTTGCAAACATTTTGGGAGAAATTCAGCACTCTTCGATTTAATGTTTGAAAGCCAACGGAGGTGAGCCGGGACTTCGTCGCCAAGGTCCACCCTCAGTCCCCGTCTGACGTCCGAATAATCGCCGTGCAGACGATGCGACGTGCCTAGTTTTGTTCTACTTCCGGTCCGGGCTGCTGCTGCAGCTGTCTCCGTCCAGCCGATATCTAAGTCGATCGGTCGCGAGTGTGTTGATAATTTGTTTTGTAAAATCGTCAAAATGTAAGGTGATATTGTGAAAGTGCCAGTAATTGCCCCTAGCTACGCAACTACGCTTAGGGAAGGTATGGTCTGTGTTGTGTGGCTCGCTTTCACCGGGAGGTTATGCCACATGGCACACCACTTTTCTTCTCAACATGATGTCAGCTGAGGAGACTGGGATACCTGCTCTTACCTCTTCAGTTTTCTTGCAACACAACCTTACTGTGAGTAGTGCTTCATGGGATCTGTTTGGAGTGTAACGTAAATCGATCTGACAGAATGATTTTATGCTATCAAAACCTTCGTGTGATGCCAATTTAAATGTGCAGCGTTAGAAAGATCTAATCTTTTTTACAATATGTTTTTGGTTCCAATAGAATGATTATGAGGCAATAACCATTGAATCATATTTAATTTGCCCAATTGTTGTAGCGAACTCTCACCTATGTATTGACTGCGTAAAATCCTTCTGTGAGTGGTATTTGAATAGATCTTTGCACCTGTGCACAATCTGGTTCCACCATCATCATAAAATGATCTCAAACCACTTACAAAAGTTTTTTACGAATTTCCTCTGACATGTCAAATGTACTTTCTCATGTCAATATATTTGTAGAGAAAAGCATTTACATATATTCAGACAGGTCAGCTCTTTAAATCAAATCAATCTGCATTCAAAACAATAGCAGTAGGAACTTTATACATGGAATGAAAAACATTCATTTTGTCGTATTGTTCTCTCAACACTTTGATTTTTTGGCACACCCTGGGCCGGCCAAGCACACCTTGTTTTATGGGCATTGTTTGGATAATCCAGACACAGACTGTGGTAAAACCCAAGTCTCTATGTTCACAATGGGTTTAATACTCCACAACCAGATTCCAGACAGAGTGACACCAACCCATGGAACAGCATTAGTAGACACTAAAAGTTACTCAGACAGATGCTAAGAGAATGACCGACACATTCTCTCCGAGGAGGTATCAACTTATGTGTAACCAATGTTACTAACACACATTCAGATACATTGTTATTGCTTAGTCTGAGACTAGTACGTTTGACAAGCTGCTCACCTCAGTACACATATCTAAAATGTTTTTTTTCGAGTGTGTGGACTAGAGGCAACTTCCAGAACCACACACCTCTGTGGTACGTGGTACGACCACAGGAACCACGTAAAGTTCCTGTTCTGTGGTTTCCTTGTGGTTTCCTTGTGGTTTCCCTGTGGTTTCCCTGTGGAAAGTTTTCCGCAGGACCTCATATCATATGAGTCATATGCCATTTTGAGGCAATGGGTTGTGAAACAGTCTCTTTCCATAGTTTTTGTCTCGGGAGAGAGGGGGGGGGGGGCTACAGGTAAACATGCTCACGCGTGTTCACGACACGGGAGGCACAAATACACTCCTGTGTGACCGTGTGTCACCGAGTCGCCGCGCCCTCAGCCCCCTCAGCTCAGGTCGTTGTCGCTCCGTTTTGAAAGAAGAGACGCGTGAGGATGGGCGGGTGGGATCGCGTTTCACACAGTTACGTTGTGATGCTCGCGCGCTTCCGCTGTTGGGAGGTGGTTCAGGGTGTTCGTTTCGTGGTGCGCCGCCCAACTCAGCGTCATAGTTCCATGAGG